GCTGAAAGTGTTCTGCAAATCAGTGAGCTCTAAAGGACTTGCTTAATAGGTGTCAAGAAGTACAACAGTGAAGGGCAGAAGAGAGTAAGGGAAACAGGGAATCCAAATAATTAACTTCTGAGCTTTACATGAATACACTTTTTTCCTCTCCTCCTGCAAAATTAAGCTCCACATGTTAGAACAATAATAAATCTGAGCTTTTGTCCAAAAATACAGTTATAAATGCTGCAGTGTTGCCGGATGATTGTAGCACATAGTGATCATGTGTTTGGAGAACATGACTACTGTTCCTGATTGAGGTTTCTCTCATAGAAATTTGGAGATATAGAAGATCTTCAGGAAGAGGATTCCCCATTAAGTGTTGTTCTGACTTTTAAATCTCGCTCAGAAGCTGAGAATGTAAGTAGAATTATTCCTTTCTTGGTTCTAAAATGAGATTTTTCAACTACTTGTGTCTGCTTTTGTATTTTAAACTTCAGCAGACTTTGAATCCCACTAGTCTGAGCGCTGGTGTGGGTATGTGATGATACTGCAGATGGTGCCAGTAAAGGGGGAAATAACTGTTTACCTGATGAGCCCCATAGCTCTGTTACTGACAAGGGTCCAATGTCACCATGAAGTCAGCCCTTTTCATCTCTTCACGTTGTTGATAGATCAGCATTATTTATTTAGCAGATTCAGGCTTGAATGAAGTTGCAGTTGGAGGACTGGAGCAGCTGATTGTGGGTTATAGGATTGAGATCTGCAAATCTGCATCATGACGTTTATGGGGTCTAGCTTGCTGTTGGTGACCTTAATAATTCTTCACTTGATCCTTTTTTTGAAAATACATTCATTTAACACAATCCAGGCTGCTAACCAGGGGTCCCGCTTCAAAGACCGGAGGCTGCAGATCTCGTGGTACAAACCGAAGGTTCCCTCTGTGTCCACAGAAATTGAGGAAGAGGAGCCTAAGGAAGAGGTATGAACAGATGTTCATTACCTAATTGCCCTTCTAGGAATCTAAGAGCTCTGGTAGGATACAGTTTACTAAAGACATTTCATTGAAGATACTTTTACAAACCAGAAGCTTAACTGGTTTGAAATAGTCAGGTATGTATTCCACATTTTACAGAAGGTAAAAAGGGAAACAAATACACTTTCTGGATGTGGTGATGTGTTTTAAACTAAGAAGATACACCTCACATCCTATGCAGACTGCTCATCATTTTACTTCCCAGCACTAATGCTGTGCTGCACTGTAAGCTGGCTGTATGCTTTCCTGTGCTTCTGAGCACATTACACTGATAAAGGTTTTCCCATCTAGGCATTTAACAGAGTCTCAAACTGTTGTTGATTCCTGCTTCCTTTGAAATTCACCTTTCTTTGCCTTTCTTGATGTGTGAGGCTGCTCTTCTTCCCATCAAACCTGTTGGATGTAGCTGTGTGTGTTTCAGTGGGCCAGAGGGTAAAGCAGAACCTGACAAAGTACATCTGCTGCTCTTTGTTTAAGGGAACCTCTTTGTTTAAAAGTACGTTTTTTCTTCTTCTAGGAGACTGAAACCTCAGATTTATTTTTGCACGAAGATGATGATGATGATGACGAAGACGAGGATGAATCCCGTTCCTGGAGAAGATGAAACTTGATGTTGGAAATGTATAATTTTAGGAATATAGTTCAAGCTACATCTTTTAAACATTTATTTAAGGAAGTTGATGAGCCAAAAAAAAGCTTTACTTTATTTTCAAACCACAAGATTTAAAGTGAGCAAGTTTGATATCCAAACATGTGGGATGTAGAGCTGAGACCCTCAGCTGGCCAAAGGCCCAGGAACGTTTTACGTCATTATCAGCTCACCAGGGTGGTGATTTTTTTCTATTTAAGAAGGATAAAAAGAAAAAGGGGAAAAAATACTAGTATTTTCTTGTCCTCTTTGTGTGTCACCTGTATTACCTTGTTTTGGGTTTTTTTATAATGTGATTGATTTGTTAGTTTATAATTGACAAGATATTACAGGTTTTATTTAGCAATATTATGGGGTTGGGGAAAAGAGTCAAACTTTCATTAAATGTTATGAAAGAAAAAAATGCCTCATTTGCTAATTAAAAAGGGTAGCATTTTATTTCATACGGAATCATTTACTGTAGAAGTTCTTTGTGGCTAGATTCAGAAATCATTTATTTCAATATGTTGGAAAGCCACACAGTTCCTGGGTTCTGCTTTTTGTGAGAGGAGATGGAAGAAGCAATTTAACAGGGTGTTATTGTAGTATTGTCCAGTTCACTCTCTTTCTTCAAATTCTGCTTCACAGAAAACATCAGCAATGACAAGTATTTGAGTGAATTCTCATTCACTGTTGATTTTCCTCTGCAGTTTCAGCGTAAGGTTCAGGTTGAAGTCGGGCTGTTAACTGCATTTCAGTATTTGTGAGTGTGAATGTTAATGAGTTTCGTGCTTACTTGGAAGGAAAAACAGCTAAACTGGCAACTACTGACCAACCAGTAGAAACTCCTCCTCCTCTCCCTATTACCAGCTGCTTGTTGATGTTCAAACCAAATCTGTGAAGCCTTCTGGGCAGAATGCTCTTTGTTCAGGAGTGTCAGTGTCCTGCTGCAGGCCTGGTGTCACACCAGTGCTTCAGGGCACGTCTGCAGAGGAGTGTTGAGAGCTGGGCTGGGGAGGTGGTGCCTTTATCCAAGTACAGGTTTGTTCAGGCACAGAAGAGATCAACACCGTTACGTTTTCAGTTGCCTTATTGTTGCACCAGTCTAGGAGCACCCCCATAGTGACCCCCAGCAGGGGGGTGTTGTGACAGGAACCAGGACAGCCAGCCCAGGCGCTCGTGCCTCGTCACTTGGACACAGCTCCTGCAGTTCCTAGAGGTGTTTCCTGGGGAACATTCCCTTGGCTCTCCATTTGTACCGTACACTCTTCAGTACATTTTATTTACATTTATATACAAAATAAACAGAATGTCGGTGCAGAAATGCTCTCCTCTTTTGAATAATTAGTTTACCACTGCATTTGTCAGCAAGTTCCCAACTGAAGGAGATGACACTTCAAAACCTTTACATTAGGATGGCTCTGGAGTGGGCCAGTGACAGGTAGCTGAGCATACCTTGGGTTCACAGCACCCCTGATGTCCTGCCCTTCAGCTGTCATGGTGTATCACAGGTCAGACCAGGATAATTCCCTCTTTCCTTGCCAGTTGAAGGGAGTATGTCCTTCAGTATTGTCTCTTCACATGGAAACCTCACCTCTTTATATGATTAGGTCTTTCCTGCTAATACTGAGGCTGAATTACAGACATGGAGGTACAAGGGGAAACCAGTCTCACGTACATAGAAGAATGTCTTGCTTTTCTCCCATCATCTCTACTGTTGTTTTTTTTAATGTCTGTGGCTCAGTCACTGTATATTTAGGAAAATCCATTGCAGCAAACATATTTGAGTCCTGACAGTTTAAAAAGTGATAGAGGGAACAAAAGGATTTATATATTTTTTTGTACAGAGTTTTTTCTTAAACTGTATAATTTTGTAAATATTTTGCTTTTTTGTGTACTAAACTACCAGCGTATAGATTTCAATAAGAATCGTTGTATTTTTGTATTTGGAAAATGAAAATTACAGTGAATGAATGAAGCTGTAAGAAAAATTGCAGTAGCCTATGACACATGTAGAATGGGATTCCTTTTCATATGGTTTTAGCTGTAAAGTGACACCTGCTGGCACACGGTCCAGGGACACTTGTCGGTGCCCGGACGCGCCGGCTGTTGGAGCTGGGAAGGTAGGAGGGAGGTGAGGGCAGCAGCTTTATTGGATGATTTTTGAGAGCTTCATACGATTTCTGTTTCCCCCTTCTCAGTACTTCTTGGCAGGCTTACCCAGCACCCCAGGGACATCCCAGACCCCATTTCTGCGCCCCAAGGTGTGGGGGTGAGTTGTGCTCTGAACCCCATGATTGGCTTGGGGGAGTGTGAGCGATGGGCAGTGTCGGGGTTAAACTGTTGGGGCTTTTGTCTTGGTTGGTTGTTTTAGTAGGTGACATGACAGAACAGCTCACTTTGTTTTCATGGCAGCATTTTCAGGCAAAATGTCTACCCAGCAAGGGAGCCTGTGTGCACCAGCCCTGAATGTGCAGCTGTGTGCAGCAGGGTGTTATCAGCTGAACTTGGGGTGCAAACATGGACAGGGTGTGTGATCAGAAGGGAACTGTTAGGAAGAATTAGAAGAATTCTCCCTTTCATTGTTGAATTAACCTAAGCAAAAAGAACAAAACAAACCCAAGAGTTGAAAAGTTAAATCTGAAAACAGTTGCCTGCTTCTTGTGGAAACACTTATTTTAACAAAATCATGTGAAAAGGAATAAGGTTCCTCTTGGTGTATAGTAAACTTGTACTATAGTTTTTACAAATTGTGAACTTGTGTAATAGTATAATAGGAGATATTGTTGAATTTCTAACTGTTTATACATTTAAATTCATATATGTAATGTTTGTTTTATTGATTACAATCTGAATTTCTAAGATGCATGTTGACTTTTTTGCAATAAAGATATACTACAGAATGGTTCAAGATTTAGAAAAGACAAAATTCTAACTTAAATAAATTGGGCAGCAGAACCATTCAAAAAAATTACAATATCACAAAAAGAGCGTCATCACCTTTATTTTGGGGGGGTAGTGTATGTATGAAGGGGGTATTTATTTGCATGGAATGTGTGTGCAAGTTTGTTTTAATCAACAGGTACTAGCTACAGGAAAAATCATAAGGTGGTGTATCAGTGCTCTGAAATAGTACTAATTAACACAGCTAAATTGATGGGGCAGAGTTAAAAATGGGGGTGGGAGAGATTCCAATAAATCTCTTGGGGGATGGTCCAAAGTTTAACAGAAAATTAAGAATGTTTCTGGTCTGGGGGATGGTCCTGTGGTCTCTTTACAGACTTGCTGGATTGTTGAAAATAGTGTGTACAAAACATGAAACTGAGGTCATGCAAATTCTTGCCCTTTTGCCATTCGGTCTGAAAACTACTTTATTCTCACAGTAACTATTTTCTTGGTCTGTACCCCTATCACTGGTTTCTGGTGCTCCCTTCTGTTCTGTGTTGCTCTCACGACTAACTGTTGGTTTGTGACCCTGGTTCCCTCCAAGCCTTCTCTTACATTCCCTTTCCTCTCCTGGATTGTTCATGTGCTGTGGGGAGATTTTTTTTAAAAACAGACCAGGCGTTAGACAAGGGTGGGAGTTTGTTCTTCCTTCACTGCAGTAGAAGGAGGAGAGGAAGGAGGTTGATGGTACGTTTAATAATTATTTGTGTTGCCATCTCCTTCCCATCCCTTTGTGGTCCTGCAGTGTCAGTGTTTTAAAACATGACCTGGCTTCTCTGTCGATGAGGAGCCTCTTCCTGATAAACCTGTGGCTTTTGGGCATTTCATTCTTGCCAGTAACTGAATCTTTCCACAGCCCACTTTCCTGTCCATAGCCACCAAATAATCCCCATTCCACAAGAAAATAAAATAATTGAAGGAGATGGAGCCTTGACATCAAGTAGGAAATGGTCAAAGTAGTTGTTTCTTCCTACATGATCAAAATTAATTTTAGTGGCAAAAGAGACTAACAAGAACTTAAAAGGGGGGGCCAGCATTTTTCTCTGTGTGTGGCTTTGGATTTATTTTTCCCCTGGTTGTTCCAAATATGATCTAAATGTTCCCCTGGCACAGAGGTGCCATTCAGTGGGGCTTGACAGCTCTTCCTACAGCTATGGAGAGTCTTGCTGAAAGTTATTTTGAAGAAAGCAAGATGTGTTAAGTAGCTATTTTAACTGAACAAATGCACAGAGGTAAATTGTTGCTGTATTAGGCCATGTCTTCAGTGGCTACAGTCACAGCTGTATGAAATGCAACAATAACTGTTTACAAAGAGGTTTCCCAAACATGGAAATAGAATTTTAACTTGTCCCTTGAAACGTGGGACCCAGTTCTGTCCTGTGCAGCCCCTGGAGCAGGTTGTGTAACATTTATCTGGGTCCTGTCAAGGAGATCACTGACATGAGCCTGTGGTTGAAAACGGAACAATGAGCCTGAGATTTCTCTGAGGTTTTTGTGTGTGCTGCCCCTGCTTCTTCCATGCTGGATCTACAGTTGTGGTGATCAATGGATTGATTAGAGCTTTTTCTCTCTCCCCAGGATTATTCCACAGACTATGCCAATTGTGTATGTTAATTTTCAGGTAGGTCAATCTGTGCTGGATCCTGGACATGTGGAGCCAGATGTGAAGAACCACAGCAAGGCTGACAGCACGGTGAGGGATGGGCTTTGGTGTATAATATAACCTGGTGTTTGACAACCAGCTAGTTAGAGCTGCTGCTGAAGAGATCCTGGGAAGGTGTGAGGATGTGGATGGTGAGACCCTGGCCCAGGTTGCCCAGAGGAGCTGTGGCTGCCCCATCCCTGGAAGTGTCCAAGGGCAGGTTGGATGGGGCTTGGAGCAACCTGGGCTGGTGGGAGGTGTCCCTGCCCATGCAGGGGGGTTGGAACTGGAGGAGCTTCAGGGTCCCTTCCAACCTAAACCAGTCTGAGATTCTGTGGTGCAAGTGATGAGAACAGCCTGGAATGATAAGTCTTTAAAGGGTGCTTGAACTTCCACCAGGAAAGTGTGCACTGTTGGGAGAGAAATGGGAGAATCAGTGAGCAGTGTAGGTTGGAGGAGCTGGTTTAGCCTTGTGAAGGCTGCTGAGGGCAGAGGGGTGTGGGGGTCGTTCCCCAGCAGGGATCCCCACACCTCACCCCCTCAGCATTGCTCAGAGGAGCTGTGGCTGCCCCATCCCTGGAAGTGTCCAAGGGCAGGTTGGATGGGGCTTGGAGCAACCTGGGCTGGTGGGAGGTGTCCCTGCCCATGCAGGGGGGGTTGGAACTGGAGGAGCTTCAGGGTCCCTTCCAACCTAAACCAGTCTGAGATTCTGTGGTGCAAGTGATGAGAACAGCCTGGAATGATAAGTCTTTAAAGGGTGCTTGAACTTCCACCAGGAAAGTGTGCACTGTTGGGAGAGAAATGGGAGAATCAGTGAGCAGTGTAG